CCCATCACACACAGACACACAAAACATAGAGCACAGCACACAACAACAAAGGTGTAATAAGTTAGTGACAGTTGCCTTTGTGTTGTTTTATTGCCGTGTCCACTGTTTTTTGTTCTGACCCCATTCAGCTGAACACTGATGCCAAAGTGCTGGTCCTTCAACCTATACCTTACCACTCACCCCAGAGTTCCCTCCCACAAAGCCAGCACATATGCCTCTCCTGATGCCTCCAGATCTCCAGGAAAGGCTGGGGGCTGCAGACCACACCGAGGTTTCCTGGCTTTTCTACTGGACCCTAGACCAATCCACCCTCTCTTCTATACCAGAGTTCGGCATTCCCTCTGTGCAATTATAGGAGGTCAGATTCAACAGCCTCCATCCAGCTCTACATTCTGAAGATAAATTAGGTTATTCAACTCTCAGGTTCTAACCTCAAAAGATATTTGATAGCCAAAAAGAGAAAAGCCATCGAAGACCGGCTAGCTCAGGAAACATCCACCATGAGATACCTTTGGCGCCATCTACTGGTGTGTGATTTGCAAACGGCCTCCCTGAAAGCAGTGTGAGTTCGAAGGAGTGGACTGATTTCAAATGACAGAGAGCTGATGCCTGAGTGAGAGAAGCCATCCCACCCTAGCGTTTCATAGGATAAACACATGCAAAATTATTTTTATCTAAAATTCAAACGTTATTAAATGTCCTCCGATTTACCTGTGATTCCATAAGACTGGGCCAACGCTGGAAATGGTGTTCTTTTCTCCTCCTGTACTCTTTCAGTTGCTCTCTAGGGCCTCCTCTTGGCAGATCCTAGGATAGAGCCAGTTGGTGGTTTGCACTTCAGTGTAAGCTCAGAAAGTGCTTGTTAATTGATAGAGTCCAGCCTCTTGCCTACTCGGCATTCTTGCCTTTGTCATTCCACGACTTTGTACTTACAGATGACAAAAGCAACTCTAACAGAAGAGAACTACCTCCAACAAGTGAAGACAGTTTCGTCTTCTCCCCAGAATAAGAAGAGACTAGACGAGTCTTGAAGTTGTTTGTTATTTGCAAGAGAGTTACACTAGCCATCTCTAGGAAGAATGAACTTGCTTTTAAAACCCAGTCACAGTTGAAAACTCTGTTAAAGACTGAAGTATAGAATTAACTTCCAAAAAATTTAGAAAATGATTAAGGGAGGAAGAAGGGAGAGAAAATTAGCTAACGTCTTCCTTTATCTATTGTGATATAACCAAGAAAGAACTATGCATGGCTGCTTGCTGGTTTCTTTGGCCAGTCATAATGAAGGGACTCTGGCCAGCTTGAGCGTGGTAAGCATGGCTGCTAAAAACCATTAGATTACATTCCTAAACCTACCCACAAGGTCTATTCCCTTATCTGTCCACTTCCTCCTTCCTCATGAGGCTGACTATGAAGGTCCAGCTATCCAAATATTGAAGTTCAGCAATCAAAAAGCCCCCTCTGAAGAGGCTACCTTAAATGCCCTCCCCTGATAATGAGATTGATGACTGACTTATATGCCACCTGTTAGCCCTCATCCCGAAGCTGGTAGAAGTAGAAGCCGACAACCACAACTAATCACTGAACTGAACTGGAATCCAGAAGCAGAGAAGGGCGAGTGAAGAGCAAAGGGGTCCAGACCAGGTTGGTGAAACCCACAGAAACAGCTAACCTGAACATTGGGGAACTCTTGCTCCCCAGACTGATAGCTGGGATAGCAGCATGGGACTGATCCAGACCCCAGGAACATGGGTTTCAGTGAGGAAACCTCGGAAATCTATGGGACTTCCTGTAGTAGTTCAGTACTTATCCCTAGCATAGGTATGGACTTTGGGAGCCCATTCCACATAGAGGAATACTCCCTGAGCCAAGACACATGGGGGTGGGCCTAGGCCGTATCCCAAAGGATACGATAGACTCTGATGACACCCTATGGAAGGCCTCACCATCCAGGAGGAGCAGAAAGGTTGTGATAGGTAGGGTTTTAGTTGAGGAGGGGGGGATTGGTAGGGGAGTACGGGAGGGAGAGGGAACCGGGATTGTCATGTAAAACAATCTTGTTTCTAATTCAAATAAAAAAACTCTGCAAAAAAAAACCTGAAAAAAAAAAAAAGCCCCCTCTGGCTCACTGGCTCACCTAATTAAAATTAAATATTTCGTTTAACCTTTATAAACCAGTTTTCCTATGTGCCACATCTTTCTCCTCTCTATCCAGAGTCAGTCCTTTGTCCCTTCTGGACAAATTTCCCTGCGCTCTTTCCTTTGTTCCCTTCCCCTTCTCAGTAATCCTCTATGTTGTCTCCTTGTCTCTTATTCATGCCCTCTGTGCCTCTGGGACAAATAAATCTCCTTTATGCTAGGAACTTGGTCTTGGGAGTCCTGAGCTGATACTCTTACTTTCATATAATGTCACTGGTGTCCATAAATTTCTTCCTCAACCATTCCCTGTTTTCTTGTCCTCAGGTGGGACTTTATCTGGTCAGGGTTCTTCACCCAGTAAGGTGGCCTTTGTCTTCATTCCTCAAGGTCCAGGATTGTCAATAGCCCTGCCTATCTTTAATTGTCATGCCCATTAATATTTACTAACAAGCATGGGAATATCAATACCCCCAGAGGATGCCCCAGCTCCAGCCATGTTTCTTCTTGGTGTTATCTTCCTGTTGGTTGTAAGGATCGGCTCCCTCAGTCAGAGAACTAAGAGTCTTCTTTGCTTACTGGGTTAGTGCAGAGAAAGTCCCAGGTGGTGATCTCAGTCCCCAGTTCAATAGAAGCCTGTTGTGATTCTTTTTTTTTTTAAGTTAGCACACAAAGCAGTTGATTTCATTACAATGTTTCCATACATATGTGTTGTTACACTTTGTTCTCAATTGTTTCTCTCCCCCATTTCCTTCCCTCCCTCCTGCCATATCTGGTTGGTGCCCAATAGCCCCAGTCTAGTGTTCTATCACTATGAAGAGATACCATGACTATGTGATTCTTTTGTTTGTTTTTAAAGATTGTATTTATTTATTATGTACACAACATTCTGCTTCCATGTATATCTGCACACCAGAAGACGGCACCAGATCTCATAATGGATGGCTGTGAGCCACCATGTGGCTCACATTGCTGGGAATTGAACTCAGGACCTCCGGAAAAGCAGTCAGTGCTCTTAACCTCTGAGCCATCTCTCCAGCCCCTGTTGTGATTCTTAATGGAAGTTTTTCTCTCTTGGGAGTTAAGGCCTTTAACCAGGCGGGGTACAAACTTGAAGTCACAGGAAGCATAAATTCTCTAAGTGAGTTATCTGGTTGGATTGTGAGAGACGCGTGTGTTCTGGCTGGGAGAGAAAGGGCACAATGTATGGTTTGCTGAAATCAGATCATTGGTTGCATATTGTTGCCATGTACAATCTTATAATGTGGTGGGTAAGATAGGCAGCTCATGACACACAATCACTTGGTGTCTCGTGGTCCCATCATGTCTTACTTTTAAACATCTTTATCTCTTAAATGAATAATTCTAGGGATGCCAAGTCCTGTGTGAGACCTGACTGGGATGACAACAGGAATGAATAAGGAATGACAGACACACATATAGAGAAGCTGGGATCAGGTGGACCATATTCACTCTAATGAAGGGCACCAGGACTACATCAGGACTCTGCCTGCTCATTATGTACAGCACAGGAGGAGGGGTTAGCTAGTTTCTGGAGGAGGTCTCCATAGGAAGGAGTCTCAGGCTGTAGACATCTGGGAACAGGAAGCTTCAGTAGATGCTTTCCGTACACTTTCAATAGTCCCACATGGACCAGGGGAAGACTTTGCCCATTCCCATGGATCTAAAGTATTAGGTTCCTTGACATGGCTGTGTCCATGTCAGCAATTCACATTCACTCAGAATTTCATCTACTCTTCTACACTTCCTCTTTTTTTTGCATCTATTAATTAGATCTATCCCATGGCTTCATTTATTAATAATAGTGTTGGGTTTGGGGTTTTTTTTGTTTTTGTTTTTGTTTTTTTGCCAGCACAGCAGCTACACCTGAATCTACTGCTGTTTCAGCCAGTAATTGCAACTCTACCGTTACTGGTCCCCTTCTCCAGTAACAGCCTGGCAGGACTTTTACCCACCGGATCCACCTCCTGCAGCTGCCACCAAATGCAATTTTTAACTTAATCTTTATCATTCTAGTTACCAATAAAGACTTGGGAGTCAGAGACTGGGCGTGAAAACTTGCTAGCTCAGAGAGGTTGAGGAGCAACTAGCTGATCTCTCTTTGCTAGCATCTCAGAATGAGAGCATCCTTCTGCTTGGCCAAACCAAAAAGACCATCACACTCAAAGTCCTCCCTGCTACTTTCTATGTCTCTCTATCTGTCTTCCAGACTCCCTCTGACTCTCTATGATTACTTTCTGTCAACTAGTTGCTGGCTCCACCTCCTGACCCAAAGTTGATTTTACTTAACACAATGGAAAACTCTCAGTTCACAGTGCGATCAAATACCCACAACATAACAGTAGCAGTGTCTGGCTCTAGCTGGTTGTCTCCCATGGACAAGTAACAATTCCAGGGACTATTTCTCAAACAGTTAATTACAGTAAAAGGGACTAAATGGTATCAATTTGCCCTGAATCCCTTGTGCCTCCAGATACGATTTCTTTAAATTTTTGTTTTGTTTTCATTTTATTATGCTCTTTTGTTGTGGGGATTGTTTGTATGCTTAGGGGTGTGATTTTTGGTTGGTTGGTTTGGTTTGGTTTGGGTTTGGGTTTGAGACAGGGTTTCTCTGTGTATCCCTGGTTGTCCTGGAATTCAGGTGGCCTCGAACTCAGAAATCTGCTTCATGAGTGCTGAGATTAAAGGTGTGTGCCATCACCACCTGACAGAGATGGGATTTCTTTTAAGAGTTACGAAAAGTTGCTTCTTCTCCCACAGGTCTTAGGCGTTGGGAACTCTGCCAAGTCTTTACTTGGGGATTGAGGGCTAGAGGCCACAGGTTGATATGGTCCGCTCTGTTGCAGGAACAGCCTCTGTAGCTGTGGCAGGGATCCTGGCTGCTCTGAGAATCACCAAGAACAGGCTCTCCAATCATGTGTTTGTTTTCCAGGGTGCGGGTGAGGTGAGTACCATTAGAAGGAGTCTACTGTGATTGTCATGAGAAGAGTAAGAATGGGTGGAGTAACATTCATAGCGAGAGGTGGACTAGGGTTCCGACAAGAGGAAGCAGCATGAGTGTGTTCTGATCATTGCAGCTTTTTGAGTCTCAGAGTTTGAGTTTCTCAAAGTAAGGATTTAACTGGACTTCCCAGCATTTGTGGGGCTGGGGAAAAGAAGAAGGGTTCATTTTGGTAAAAACATCTGGTATGTGCTGAGTAATTGTGTGCTTTGAGTTTAAATGTGGTCCTCATGCTACCCCCAGGCTGCCATGGGCATCGCCCACCTCCTTGTTATGGCCCTGGAAAAGGAAGGCATACCCAAGGCAGAAGCCATAAGGAAGATCTGGATGGTGGACTCCAGTGGTCTCATTGTCAAGGTACTGTTCAGGTCTAAAAAACTACAAGTTTCCTGACACCTAGAGCTGCCAAGAACTAAACTGAAAGAGGTCTCCAGCCATGCATGGTGCTACATGCTTTTAATCCCAGCACTGGGGAGGCAAAGATAGGTGGATTTCTGAGTTTGGGGCCAGCTTGGCCTATTGAGCAAGTTCCAGGACAGCCAGGGCTGCACAGAGTAACCCTGTCAAAGAAGAAGAGGAGGAGAAGGAAAGAAAGAGAGGGGGGAAGGAGGGAGAAAGAGATGGAGGAAGGAGGGAGGGAGGGAAGAAGGGATGGAGGGGAAAGAAAAGAAAGAGGGAAGGAAGAAAAGAAAAGGAAGGAAGGGAGAAAGAGAAAAGAAAAGGAGGGAAGGAAAGAAGGAAAGACAGAAAGAAGGAAAGAAGGAATGAAGGAACGAAGGAACGAATGAAGGAAGGAAGGGTTCTCCAGAGGGCAGAATACTTAGAATGTAAAGCAAAAGGAAAATTAAATTCCAAAGCAAATGCTTTAGTTGCTGTTATCCAAAAGTTCTGACCATGTGTGTATGTGTTTTGTGTGTGTGGATGGGTAGGTGGGTGGATGTGTGTGGGTATGTGTGTACATGTATGTGTACCTGAATATCCCTTCCAACCTTTTCTCCTGCCTTGAGTTTATCTCAGCCATATTGGATCACAGTCCTCCAAAGACACATGCTCACTCTTCCACAACATTGCACAGCCAGACCCCTGTTGAAAGGGACTTGGGCCTGGTGATGCATCTTCCCATCCCCACATTCCAGAGAATGGTCTCTGAGCAGGATACCAGACACTGTTAACTTTTTGTTCATTTGCGTATTTTCCAACATCATTTTGTTCACCCCGTTGAGCTGACTGCTAATCAAGGAGCTATTGGCTTGACATCATCCCTCGGGCACTCTGAGGCCAGCTGGAGCCATCAGAAGTGACTGTACTCACTCACCAGCACTTGTGCCCCTGTCACTCCTGGGCTTCCATTTGAAGAGATGGAAAAAAATCTGGAGCTTGTCAGGCACAGTTGGCATGACCAGTCTATCCTAGACTCAGCTTAGTGAGACGCACAGGAAGACTAGTGGATCCTATTGAATCCGTTTACATTCCCTCTCTGGCACTGAAAGTCTCAAGGCCTATCTTTCTGCAAACCTATAGAATGCACTTTTTGTGACCAGCGGATTCAGTGAGGCTAAGGAATTTCCTAGGAGTCTTTCTGTCCTGTCCCAGTAACCCATGACCCCCAACAGCTAAAAATAAAATAAAAATAAAAGATGATTTGCTGAGTTTTTTTTCTGTGTGGCTCGGGAAATGGCTCAGAAGTTAAGAACACTTGTTTGCTCTTTCAGAGGAACCAGATTGGACTGGACTGGATTGGATTGGATTGGATTGGATTGGATTGGATTGGATTGGATTGGATTGCATGGTGGCTAACGACTGTTTGTAACTTCAGTTACATAGGACCTGGTGCTCCTGGCCTCCACAGACACTACATGCACATGGAACACAAATGCAAAATACCCACAGAATTAAAATAAAAACATATTTTAAAAGAGAGAAAGAAAGAAAAAGAAAGAAAGGAAGGAAGGAAGGAAGGAAGGAAGGAGGAAGGAAGGAAGGAAGGAAGGAAGGAAGGAAGGAAGGAAGGAAGGAAGAAAATGTATATGTTCCCTTAGGGTCCACTTGGGCCTACTAGAAAATCTGATCAAGGATCTGGACCTCACTATTCTGAAGACTGAGACTATAAGGCTCAATCAGAAACACCATCAGAATCCTAACACATCAAGGCCCTGCTCAATAGGCCCTCAACACCACAGTTACTCCATCTTCCTTCTTTTCCTACAGGGAAGGAGCCACCTAAACCATGAGAAGGAGATGTTTGCCCAAGACCATCCTGAAGTCAACTCCCTGGAGGAGGTAGTAAGGCTGGTGAAGCCCACAGCAATTATAGGTAGGAAGAAGAAGGGGCCCTACCACCCAGTCCAGCTAACTCTCTTGACTTGCAGATGGATATTCTGAGACTCGGTGGAGAGTCATAAATCACCTATGGAAGCACACCTATTTCCCCTCTTTGATGCCTGGTCCAATGCCATAAACTTTTGTTGAGTGACTTCTGTAAAGAAACCATAGAAATGAAGGACCAGAGTTGGGGCTTGGTGACACAGAATGATATATACAGTGGGAAAGCACAGTGTTGTGCTTTAGCATGGAGATGAGCACTCCTTCCACACCAAGACTGAGGCCCTGGCACCTGTCCCTGTGGTAGAGGACCATTGTGCTCTCACAAACAGCATTCAGGAATGTCTTCAAGGTATACCATAAAGATCAGAGACCTGAAATGGGCCAGTGGTCTCCCTGGAGGTCATAGCTAACTCAAGCAACAGGATTCTTTTCCCTTCTGCACCCATGGCCCCTATAGCAGATTCCCTCAAGATTCCCAAGTCTGTTATGGGGACCTAGTTCCCTCACCAGTGGCACAAAGAAGAAAAATGGGATGTTTATACAGAGTAGGCATTCCCTACTACCCCCCTTTTCCTCATAGGTGTTGCTGCCATCGCAGGAGCCTTCACCGAGCAGATTCTGAGGGACATGGCCTCCTTCCATGAGCGCCCAATCATCTTTGCCCTGAGCAACCCCACCAGCAAGGCTGAGTGCACAGCTGAGAAGTGCTACCGGGTCACTGAGGTCAGCAGGGAGTCCTTCCTCCCACCAGCTGAGAGAAAGTAGTAACAGTTACTACCAATTACCCTATAAGGGTGACAAAGAGTGCCCCGTCACTGTGAACAAGCAGTGGCTTAGAAAGATGAATCAACTTTCCCACAATCATCAAGCTAATTCAGAATAGAGCTAGCCCTCAAACCTAGATCTAACTCCAAACCAAAGCTCTTCCCATGATACTGGACTACTCAAGGTTGCCCTGAACAGCAGAGCTTTATCCAGAACCCATGGCTTTTATATGCCTTAAGCAAATATCTTGTTTTGGCCCTCCCAGATGTTGGGGGAAGATGCACCATGGCTTCCACAACCAATAACTTGAAGGGAGGCAAGGCTTGTGGTCAAATAAACAAACTATTAATTTGTTTGTCACTATTCTGGACACTTAGGAGAGGGTGGAGATGGGCCCAACATTTATGAGATAAGAATAGACTACCATGACTGATCCAAACCTGTCCCCAAGCTCCAACTCTGCTTTTCTTCCTACATCCAGGGCCGAGCGATCTTTGCCAGTGGAAGTCCTTTTAAGAGTGTGACTCTCGAAGATGGCAGGACATTCATTCCTGGTCAGGGAAACAACGCCTATGTGTTTCCTGGGGTAGCACTGGGTGTCATCGCCGGTGGGATCCGACACATCCCAGATGAGATTTTCCTCCTGACTGCAGAGGTACTGCTGCTTTCCTCTCTAGGATGCTTCTAATAGGGTTCATGGCTCAACACCAAGTCCTTAAACCCAGTGACCCCTGGATTCACCCTCTCTTGTCTCCTACCCACTCACCCCTGACCCTGGCATCAGACCAGAAACAAGGCTAGAAAGGAACCATGAATCAGGAAATGTTTTTGCTTAGATAGCCACCCAGAATGACACCAAGAATGTGGGAGGAGGTTAGGACCCAAGAAGTAAGTAAGGGCCAGAGACTCCTGTGTAATAGGCTGTGACCAACTGAAGGACAGAGTCTTTATCTTCAGGTCACAAGTTTATTCATCTTGGTCTTAGTGATTTCATTCTAGAATTCATGGAACCTCATGCTGTTTTAAACTTCAGCCAGGCTTAGTACAGAATGAGTCTTTGTTTAAGCTTAAGCATTAGGCTTCCTTAGGGCTATGTGTGGCACAGGTTGCACTGCCTGGCAAGCTTTGGGATAATGAGATGGATTTGTTCTATAAAGGAAGAATCAACATCTCTTTCTCCCTCCCTTCCTCCCTCCCCCTCCCTCTGTCTCTGTCTTTCTCTGTCTCTCTGTCTCTCTCTCTCTGTATCTCTGTCTCTCTCTCTCTTTTTCTAGAATATTGCCCAAGAAGTCTCTGAACAGCACCTGTCCCAGGGGAGACTGTACCCACCACTCAGCACCATCCGAGACGTGTCTCTGAGAATTGCAATCAAAGTAAGGGGCATCCTCCTTGTACCCCTTATAGTAAGGCTTCTCCTATTCCTATGACATCAGGGGGCTAGGCAACCATGGAAACCTGAGCTCCTTGAGCCTTGCTACATGCAACTCACAGACTGGGTGACAAACTCTGGCCTGCTCAGCAGTCTGAGACCCACCCCAAGCACCCACCCAGGCCAGTTCTAGGAAAGTTTCCACATTCCCCCCACAAACATGAGGGAGGAAGATCATCAGAGGCCATGGTCCTGGGAACTGGAATGTGGGTGGAATTTTTTTTTAATGAATCATAGTCACTCATTTATGGGAAAGGTCAGCTTGCACAGCGTCATGGAAAGGATTCAGGCTTTGGAGTCCCCACTCTGGCAATCAGCAGAAGAGTTATGGTGACCCCGTAGATTCACTTCCCTCAACCTTAGCTGCTTTTCTGTAGAGGCTAGTAGTTCCTCCCTCCCAAAACTCTGGAAGTTAAAAGCTCCTGCTGGCCAAAGTAGATACTTATTTTCCCCCTTTCTTCCTTTAAGGGGTGATGAGGTGATCAGGTTCACAGAATATCCCAGATTATGAGATTATGCAAAGAAACTGGATTTTCAAAGAAAACATAATACAATAAAGACCAGTTTCAAACAATTACCCAAGCTGGATAATAGGTACATGATATCCTTTCCATTAGTGTATTTTTTCCTGTATGAATAACAAATAATTTCAGAAATTGGACTGCACAGCAATACATAGCCCCTGTAAATTGTCCAGAGAAGGCACCCTTAAGAAGCAACTATGAATGAAGTCCAACAGTCCATGTTCCGATCCAGCTCACCCAGTCCACTTCCTTCAATGGGGGCTTATTTGTTCACAAGATGGTCATCCAATTCAACCACATCAACCTACATAGGAATGGGTTACACACTGACTGTTACTAATTATAGTCACATCACTCTAGAAGAAAGTTATCACTACTTTGCTTACCAAGCAGTAAGATGAAGTACTCACCAAGTTTATTTATCATTGGCTGGAAACCCACAAGGCATTAGAAGCAGGCATAATAGGCTGTGCCTCTTTCACTTTGGCCCATCCACTGGGTATGAATCCATCTCGAGAGTTCTGGGAGAGAGGAACTACCAGCCCCTTGGGAAAAGAAGCTAGTACTATCTAGAAAGTTTTAATTCTTCCCTTCCAGTGGTGTCATGGGTGACAACTGAGGAGGAATATGACTGGTCCTTTAGGGGATGTTCCTTTGCCCTTGGCTGCCAAGTTGATTGTAAGGCAGATTTTTCCCATAGATCTTCTAGTTTGTCATCCTAACCTGTTTTTCCTAGGTCCTCGACTATGCATATAAAAACAACTTGGCCTCCTACTATCCAGAGCCCAAGGACAAGGAGGCTTTTGTAAGGTCTCTGATCTACACTCCAGACTATGATTCGTTCACACTAGACACCTACAGTTGGCCAAAGGAAGCTATGAGTGTTCAGAAGGTCTGATGCACTCTCTGGGGTGTTTGGGCTGGATGAAGAAATACAATATAAATGTGTTCCAAAATGGCCAGCCTTGTCACCGTGGTTATTTTTGTTTGTCGTTCGCTTTCCTTTGTGTGTTTTGGGGAGATACTAAGGCATACAGTGGATGACAGTTTTGTTCCTGAAGGCCCTGAAAGCTCACTTTCCTACAACCCTTTTCTGAATTCCTTTCCAAATGTTTCTTTTACTGTTAATTGCTATTAACCAAGCCTTGTGGGAAATTCTGCCTAGAATTCCTCCTTTGTAGAACTCAAGGTCTAGATTGGACACAAGTCATTTTTTGTAAGAGAGAAAGTGTTGTGTCCATGGAAAATGATCATTAAAAAAGTCATATTGCTCAAAGAAGAAAGGGCACTTCCCCGGGAGACACAAAAGGAGAGCTGTGTTTGTACTCTGCCCCAAGAGTAAGGGATGGGTTAGTCATAGGCACTCAGAAATATAAGCAGAACCACCTGCTAGAAAATGTGGTCCACCCATCAGGGAGTTAATCCTTTTCAGAAGAATACATTGCCTTCAAGACACAGTAGGGTGTGGGGGCTGAGTGGCTAGAGGCTCATCAAGAATGGTCACTGCCCTTTGGGTTGCTGAGTACTGTACATTATATTTTGTCATTACTAAAAGGAAAAATAGAAAAATAGGGGTGGGGTTAGCATGCCAAAGAATGAGGAAAAAGAAGGAAAGGGAATGAACACCATGGTGAAGGTGTTGATTTCATTTCTAAGGAAGACTTGATTTTTAATGCTCCAAGCTCTGGAATACACTCCCCCTTCCATCCTTCACACTGAAGTAATCGAGCAATTCAAAGTAGCTTTCTTGTAGAAGTGACATCAGTCTGTCCTGGGTGTTTCTGAGGCCAGTTTAGTGAAAACCTTCCCCTCTCCCATTTTCATAAGTGCACACACTGCATGGCAAACAGTAAAGAAAGACTTGGAGCCCCTGCTGTGACCTGTTTGGGATATTGACTTCCAGTCTCCTTGCACTGTATAAACAAAGCATCCTTTGAGACCCACCCCTGTTGCCACCTCAACCAGGATTCCCACTGCATGTAATGAGCCATTTGGCTGTCTCTCCATACAAGCCAGGTGAACTATTAAACTCCATGAAGAGTACTTAGCAGAGTAATAAATCAATCACCTCTTGTTCAGGTCTTACTCTTCCAACTGAATCAGCTTCCTCCATGGTAGTACAACAATATCCTCAGAGTGTAGACCTAAATGTAAAGACTAATGCTACACATTTTAAGAAGAGAATAAAGTGGTAAGTCCCTGTGAAGAGTCACCAGTAAATCTCTAATTACAATCTCATATTTAATGCCTGGGTCCTGCGGAATACAATTTACAGACGATAGAAGAAAGTGGATGTGATTTTCAATTTTCTGAGCTATGGCATCAGCCTCATATGACCACCAATAGCCTGGTTGGACTTCTCATTTCCACAGGAAAAACTATCTGCCTGGACCCAACCTGATCCTTTTTATTCCATGCCCAGAATCAGTAAGTGCACCCAGAGAAGAAAATGGCTGCTTACATCAGAAAGGCTTCCTCCATGCTGGTCCATATCCCTCTCATAGCTCTCACATATCTCTTAATATATGACTTCTGGAATATCTTCATATTTGCTTAGTGGTTGTAGGTAGTGTCTTGGGGTTCCATCACCTACCACATCCCATTTAGAGAAGCAGAAAACTCAAGATATAGATTTTCAAAATTCCACATGTATTCCTAATATCACTGAGTTATGCTCAAAGAATTTGTTATGACTTACTGAAATATATTTAAATTTGCTGGGGAATTATTTTTTGTCAAATGCTATGGTCAAATTTAAGAAAACAGTTCACATCTTCTTAAAAAAGACTATGTACATCGACATGGTTTGATGCAATATTCTTTGTTTGGGGGACTTTTATTTTACTCAGTTCTACATATTAATGACTTTTTATCTACTCAACTTATATCTGAAGATAAATAGTTAAAGCTATGGGAAACTTCAATCATCTTCTTATAGCTTTGACCACATTTACTTTATATATTTTGGACGAGTGTTAGGTACAGGAAGTAGAGAATTGTTAGAACTTATGGTGAACTCAAAACTGTGAAAATTTGTGATTTTATTAATAATGCATCTGTTCTGTTATAATGTCTTGGAAATATCTCTTGCAATTCATTACTTATTCAGATGTTTAAACTCATGTAAGTACCTGGTGTCAGCAAACACTCTCCAGTTATTTCTGACACAGAACTCAAACCATTCTTCCCTACAGTGAAAAATAGCATTGTCTTAACATTAAAACATAGAATCACTTCATCAATTTCATAATAAAATAATTATCAAGAACCCTAATTTAACTCGCATAACTTTAAAAACATAAAATATTGCTAGGTGGTGGTAGCATACACCTTTAATTCCAGCTCTTGGGAAGCAGAGGCAGAGGGATCTCTGTGATTTCGAGGCCAGCCTGGTCTACAGCCAAGAATACAGAGAAACCCTGTGTTGAAAAAAATGTAAAAGATTAAATGTCCAGTTGATTAGCCCTGTTTTGGTTGGAAAAAATTGAGGAAAATATCACACTTTAAGCCAAAGTAATAGGTAGTAAGCAATTTCTAATATTTTGCAAAAAATTAGGAGTTTCATTAATTGGATAACTAAGCACTGTTTTAGCTACAAAGACAATGCATCTCTACATTTTTTATAAAATACCAGGGGCTGGGTAGATGGCTCAGTAAGTCATGTGCTTGTCCTGCAAGCATGAGAACCTGAGTTCAATCTCTAGAGTCTATTTTTTTTAAAAGCTGAGAGTTCTGGGATGCACTTATAATCCCAGCATGGGGGAAGCAGAAAGAGATGATATCTGGGACTCACTGACCAAGTTAGCCTCCAGGTAAGGGTTGAGAGACCCTATTTCAAAACACCAAAGAGGAGAGCAACTGCCATTTGAGGTTAACCTCTGGCATGCGCACACACACATTCACATACACACATACAAAATGCTTACTAAATAAAAACCCTATGTCCTACACAATATTTTCCTTCATAGTCTCTTGAATTCTGTCTCCCACCCTCCTCCTTTAGTTGGTATGCCAAACATAAACAAAAATGGCAAGGTATTTTTATCAGAAGACATTAAACAAACACCGCTTCTGTGCAAATGAATCTCTCTGGGCTTCTACCGAAGCTTACTCTTCAAAATAGGTTTCAAAACAGCATAAAATGAGATTTATGGAACTGCATTAACCACTGTGAAACTTAAAATCTCACAGAAGTAACTGCTGCACAAACTTGATGTATGCCAGCGCATATTCAGGAAGGAGAGCACCGAAGAGCAGGCAAATAACTATATACTCGCAGTGTTTGAAATGACTGAGGAATAAACCACATAAGGTCTGGAATACTGTTTATGGTTTTGTTAGAATTTTAATCCTATATCACTAAAAACAGACAAGTTCTGGGTTGTGTCTTGGCAGCCAGTCTTACTAAATTTCTTACATATTTTGCATGCTATCGCGTGCATAGAGAGGTTGCACTTTATCAAGCGTGTAGCTTTTATATTCCCAGAGAAGCATTTTGAGACTCGTTCGATAAGCATGCATTGTTGACAAATATGCACAGTAAATTAGGTCCTATCTCAAGGAAACAGCCCCAAACAGCCATATTTTATTGAACGCTTGTTTTCATTTCCACTGGGGTCTCTGAAACGCAAGCGCATTTTAGAACAATATTTCTCCAAGTACAAAAGTTACTTGGTGTTGAAAGCTCCAGGCCACTTTTGTCTTATAAGCCATAGCACATCTTCATTTTTCATCACACTTTCAATTAATTTCAAGGCCCCCCACCTTGCAAGAGCTGAGATTACAGGTGTGCATGGTCATCCATTTTATGCAGTATGGAATGGAAACCCAGGGCTTCCTGTATGCTATGTAAGCACTCTAGCGACCCAAGCCACATCCTAGGCCCCTGAGGTTCATTCTCCCTCTCCCTTCCCTGACTGCCACATTTATTACCTTTATTAGTGTGAGTGCATCCCTGTACCACAAATGTGCAGAGATCAGTTATAAGAGTCAGTTCTCCCCTTCTGTGATGGAGGTCCTGGGGATCAAACTCAGGGCCTCAAGCTTGGCAACAAGTACCTTCACCCATGGAGCCATGCACATTTAATTAATAGGTTATTAAATGAAAACCTCAGTGCTAGGTTTGGGATACTTTCCTACAAATTGTTGATCAGGGAGGTCCCAGAAACCCTCAAAACAACACAAGCTTTCACCATTACTCTTGATTTCCCACCACACCTAGATGGTAAAACCCCATTGCTAAAAATACAGTACGATTTGGATGCTGGGTATAGTGGATGAAGTCAAGCTGGAATTGACCTGAATTTTTTCTGTCAGAAGATGGCCTGCAGACTACTTGGGAGAAAACAGGCATCAATAGTCTTACTAGCACTGAACCGTGCATGCTGCAATAGCAACCTACCCGGCAATATATGCCTACCCCGCAATATATGCAATGGTGGCTTAACTATTATGGGTAACCAGCTGCTTTCTGAATAGATCTGAGGCCTGTGCCTCAGGATGAATTTTTGCTTCATACTATACAACAGGTCAAAAGGCAATCACAGGCCATGAGGGGGAACCTCCTGCTGCTGCTTTGCTATGTGGTCAATGCTGTCAAATTGCCTTCCAAATGTTTATGTTTATACCTTTAAATTAGTGCTGCTCTCAGGGCTAGAGAGATGGCACAGTAGTTAAGAGCACTGAGGTGTTCTATAAGACCCGGGTTCAATTCCCAGCACCTACATGGCAGCTTATAACTATCTGTAACTCCAGTTCTAGTGGATCTAACACCTTTATACCAAATGCACATAAAATAAAGTTAAACAAATTATTTTTAAAAATAATAAATAAATTAGTGCTGCGCTCAACTTTAGTCAGAGAAGCTTCTTTTTGCAATGAACAGCATCAGTGATAACTGATAAGAGACTATTGAGTATTTAGCCCGAAATGGTACATTTCTATCAAACCCCCCAAGGTTCAG